AGCGTCTCTTAGCAAAGACAATGACGTCGACTTTGCTAAGTATCAAGACAATTACTCTACACACACACACACACACACACACACTACACCTCAAATTGAAAGATTGGCGAATGGATTTAGTGTCCGCAGTCATTTAAACACAAACAAACAACAACAACAACAAGCTTACTATCGTCATCTTGCCCTCCTTTCCCCTACTTCATGCAGCTGCAACCATTTTTATTTCTATAAAGACGAAAATATACTCTTATTAATATTGCCGAATTTTATTATTTATTACATGTTTTAACTTCTGTATTAAACAATGTCAATGAAAGTATTTTTATTATAGAATGTTGCTTTATTACCCAGCAAACTTGAACAAAAATTGAAAGGACATAATGAACAATATTTCTTACCTTAACTTAAATATGGCGATAAAAGTTTTTAACAGTATCCGGACCCTTTTTAAAGTTATTTGCCGACCCTCGTTTTATATATTTTTCAAAATTTTCTTAATTAAAAAAAATGATAATACAAGAATTAATTACTAACTTTTTGATTAAAAATCAAATATTATGTAATGGTTTTGCTTTATTACAATATAATAATTAATTTTTGATTTTTTTTTATTAGACATCCAAGTCTTATCAAAATTTCTCAGCTAACTGTTTAATGTACTCGCCTCTAAATAATGAAGTATATTTAAATATATTTAACAATAATAATAGAATTCTATATCTACGAGTTTCACTATAATATCGTATCAATCACACACGCTCACTGTGCACTACAGTATGCTACTGAGACTCTCTAGATTTGCCAATTTGCAATCCCTGCAAATGTATGTGTCACTGTCTTCAACATCTTGTCCGAGCATAGCAACTTCCAGTCAATGTCAAAGTTTGATCAATATGGCAATGAGTTAATTAGTAAATTTACTAGTCAGATGGTAGTGATTTCAGTGAATAGAGTATACTGCGACTGTAGAGTATACAGTACCAAAAGAGCAGTAGGATTATTGTCAGAAAACTAAAAGTGATTATTGGAAACAAATAGCATCAAAAAACAAATATATAACATCTACTCCGCATCATTTAAACCACTCTGACTTTGTTGATAATAGCCTTTAGAGAATTATATCAGGATCAAAACCACCATTAATGACAACATAATCCAAATGGCTTCATAATAAATTCTTAAAAGACTGTTGATGGAAGAAACTAAATAAAGCAGTAAAATTGGGAAATTTAGCAGGAAAAAGTTAGAAGAATATTTCTGGGAACATACATTATAACAGAAACATGGAGTATCACTCAGTGCGCCAATCTTTTAAGGACTTAAGGACATTTAAGAGAGTCAGACATTTTCAAACTAAAAGATACACAACTACAAATAATAATGTTTATAAAGTGAAGAAATAAAGTGAATAAAAAACACAAAAATAAGGCATAATTAACATATTCAAAGCTTGACATAAAATAAAGTAATAGGAATGGGGCAATCATCAAATTGAAAAATAGCAGAGAAAATGGGAGGTTATAAAAAAACTATAGAAAAAAATATATAAAAATAACATGTTGAACTTAATTTTCTTTGCCTCTTTATTAACTGTTATTATTAGTTTAACTATTTTTAAATCACATAACTTAAAAACACTAATAAACCCCATTATAGAGAAAACACATAAGCACATAAATATCAACAGGTTAATACAGCTTAAATAAGAAAATATACAAATAATAGTTTAATATAATCTTTATTTTCTAAATATTTGTTTTATTTTGTACTTAAATATACCTATCATAAATAATTGCAATTTTTATGCATCTGCATATATTTCCAGTTGTTTTCTCCTTTTAATTTCCATTTCTCTACTAAAATTTTCTATCCGTGGATGACATTCATCAGTGGGTTTATTTATATTATCTTGGAATGTATTATTTTCTCCATCATGGAGTACATTATTTCTCACCATTCTCTGGTACTTAAAGATGATTCCTAGTAAATTCCAAATTGAAAATTCTGGCCATAAGACATCAGTGAAACAAATTTCTGTTCTGTGTGATATCTGCCAAAGCAAAAAATCACTTAATCTAACCTCTCCTGAAGTTCGTATTAAGATATCAGGACTGGAGCTCAAATAGGTATATAAACAACTTGAAATCAGTTCTTCAGAAATATCATTGTTTTCTATATAACCCTCTTCCACACCTTTAACAATTGTTTTGATGCTATGAGTTATTTCTTCCCTGGAAACATATGAAAATGCTACATTTAATATGGATCTATTGTTATCTTTGGTAAGAAGAGTAGCTTCTGCAACTAGTTTTCGTAAATCCTCAGAGAGTAAAGATAAGTCACCAATTACTCTTATACAAATACCTTCTTGCATCAACCTATCTTTTTCTTCAAATAGTTTTTGGAATTTTTCTTTGGCCAATTGCATTAGGTGGTCTACCTAAAAACATATCAAAATTATAAAAATTAAGTATTTATAATTAAGCCACATAAATATTCACACTTCATAAAGTTTCAAGTTTGTATGAATATATCATTTAAATTTTTCACTACATCAAATAAATAAATCAAAGATAATTACTGACAATGAAAGCTAAAACAATCAGACTTTGACTGAAGACATTAAGCATTTTTAATAGAATAACTACTGAACTAGAGTAAAACCATATACAGGATATGATCTCTATGGATTATGGATGTTTTTTTTTTTATTAAATTCTCATTAGTAAAACTCAAATATGCTTACCTCATCTTGTGACCTTTTAAAATTTTCAATACTGAATGCATACACAGTTACTTCTCTTATACCCAGCTCTCGGCACCAATTTAAACATTCAGCAAGTTTTTCAAAACCTTTGGAATGGCCTTCTGCTTTCTGAACATTTGTCTTCTTAGCAAATCTTCTATTACCATCCATGATAATTGCAATGTGTTGTGGCACAGGTCCATATTTCAAAACTTTTATACAAAACTTTTGGAAGCTAGTTAAATTGTTTTGACCTAACCAAGACATGTTAGAAATCTAATATAGTCATAGAGTCCAATAACACGTTGATAGATTAACACATATACGAAACGGATACCAGTGATAACATCATCATCAATACTTACATTCTTGAAGTAATGGAATGGATAATATTAATAATACATAGGACAAAAAACTTAAATGATAATGATCAGTGATCTAACCTAAAATTATTATACGTCATAAATCCATATAAATCATAGATAAATAATATAATAGTTCATAATTTCATAAACTGTTCATGTGCTGTTCATAAATAGTCTATCCTATGCTATCCTATCTTGACGTCTTGATAGTGACAGTGACAGATAGATTTCTCAGACATATATTGGCGAGGAACCGCAAAGTGGGCGACGCCTGGTGGTAGATTTCAAAAGCATCCACTTCGGGAAAACATTGTAGCGACCCACGGTACAATGAATACAAGAGGTAAATAAGCAAATAAGCTTTACAAAATGGTAGGCGGGCCAGACAGTTCACTTTAGTTGACAGCACAAAATTCCTTCCTTTTGATTGGCCAGACGCAAATAACGCACTGTAAAAGATGAAAGTTGACCAACTTTTCCCTTAAGCTATGGTTTATTAGAAGTTAGAACAGTGAGCGAGAGCGAAGCATAACTCACAGTCAGTCGAACGCCGCATAAGTCACAGTCAGTCGAACATTCACGTTCGTCAAAATCAAAGAAATGGTTCTCTTTGATAACGGTTTGTTAGGTTCTGCTGAGTTAAGGTCGATTCAGACACATCAGTCACGTCTCGTCATAGTCCTGGCGCTGAACCGAACAATCTGTCATACAAAATATTCTTTAATAGAAATATGGCGCCGGCATTCACATTCATCAGGCTACGAACAGTTTCCCAGCTGTCAGATAATTAATAGTTCTGTGACCAAACAGGACCGGTTCGGCGCCGAGACTGTGACGGGACTGATGTGTCTGAATCGACCTTATACGCACTGCAGACCGATAGCTGTGTACGTCGACGGTGTGCGCTGGAATCAACTGCGATTTGATTTGGACGCAAACGTTCAGCTGAGCTGACAGCATACACATCTATACCGAAATTATAATTGTATTTTTATATAGTTATTAATATTGTAATAATTAAGTGATGTCTACTAAATATACTCCCAATGAAGATGAAAGACTATGTGGATCTAGTACAAATTGTAAGGCAGTTTCAAATAAATCCATGGAAAGTCTAAAATATTCTTGAAATGTTTCCTCGTTTTGAAACAATCTTTCTTCGACTGTTAATTTAAAAACACCTTCTGTATTTTTATTTCTTTTATTTAAATGTAACGTTATCAACTCTTCTTCTTCCTCCTTTCCTTGCAGTAATAAAATTATTGCATTAGGTTTGCGAGAATTCATTTTTTTTAAATGTACAATCTTTAAGAGAATAAACGTGAAACTAATTTCTAAACTTGTTTTCAGAGCGACAGAATATCTGTGCGAAATAATCTAACACCCAAAAATGCCGTGAGTCGAGTACAACAGATTCTGCTGTGCGCTGCGCACTGTTCTAACAAACAACAAACCGTAGCTTCAGCACATATCTCTGTTCAGCATAGATTAGTGAGCTTCAGTGCGTTTCGCTTACGTCCCGTCATGCGTTTACGTTCATAGAGTACACAAAAGTCTATGTTGATCTTTTTCCAGTTCGTCTGCGTCCGTCAAACTATAAATCCAGCTTAAAAGTATTTTAAATGTAAGATATAATTTTATTTTATAATATTTATAGGTATAATTTTAATGCTTTTAATTATATATGTATTTTTTACGTTTTTGTTTAATTTTGTATGTATTTTTCAATTTTAAATTTTCATTTCATATGTGAGCCCATAATTTTATATGTGAGAGTGTGAAATAATTGAGTATATGGCAACACTGATGTATTTTATTTCTCTATGGCTTACATTTAACGTCAAACATATCTAATAGGTTATGTTCATAGAGAAATTAATTTTTATTTCTCTATGGTTACAGATGGTTATGTTAATTGTACGAAAATTAAATTTAACCGATATTTTTATTATTTAAAATGTAAGGAAAACTAAATTGTGTTAATTAAAAAAATTTAAATCTAAAAATATTGAAATTAATTCCAATTTTACTAGAAACTTTTTTGAAAGTTAAAATAGTCAATACAATTATGTACATTCTAAAATAATGGAACATGATAGTCCAAGAGCCCAAAAACATTGCAAGCTGTCTCCACTTTTAGAATTTCCAATCATTTTTACAGAAGATAATGAAATATACAAGATAAAAGCCACATTTAATGGTTTCTCTGTAAAAATAGACGAAACTGAAGATAACAAAAAAGTAGTTGGTATGGGATATTTTGGCAAAGGGAATTTTTCAAGAAGTTATCCACAATTCAACAATAATGGTCGGAATAGTATTCTAAGGCAGCGTCAGTATCAAATACGACAGTATTGGGGACAAGCTAACCACAGTAAAGAAACAGATGTATTTGTCGTTCCAGATTCAGATGGAGAATATGAAGAATATTTTAATGAACTTGAACCTAAGTATATGAAAGATACATCTGGATTAGAAGAAGTAGTTTTTTTAGGGTTAGAAGAATCATTTTTTCTTTCACACTGTGTGGAAGTGCTAGAAATTTCCCATAAGTCTTGTGTTTTGAACTCTAAAAAATTGTGGTCTTTATTTGCAGATACTGATTTATACTTTCCTTATAATTATGCGGTATATACCTATTTTCGAGCAAAGAATTGGGTAGTGAAACCAGGAATTAAATTTGGAGGTGATTTTGGTATGTATTTAAAAAATGTCTTAACATATTATATTGTTATAAGCTATAGATATAACACTATAAATATGCAATCAATACTAATCAAATTTTCTATTCCAGTGTTATATAAACAAGGACCTATGTTCTACCATGCTTCTTATGTGGTGGTAGTTGATGTTTTGAACAACAAACTACAAAGAATTCAAGAATTGTGCAGACATTCTTTGGAAAACACTTCATTATTATGCTTAAATAGATTATGCCAAACTGCTGGTAAACAGCTCATGGTTTGCCATCTAATACTAGATGAAAATAACTGTATATCCTACGACAATTTACAAAATGTAACAATAAGAGAAATTTTGTTTAAACGTAAGACAAATCATGATTAATAAATATCCTTATAAAAGTATATTAAATATTTTTTAATGCCTGTTGTATACTTTCCCCATTATCTGTTTTGAGTACAAATGAAGTAAATTTGTTGTTGGGAATACACAGAAAGACACATTCTGTTTTTGTGTTCTTATGGTGTGGATGGAATCTTTATAATAAATATAGGTTGTATCTAATTTTTTTGGTGAAATTTAAAAGTGAAGTTCATTAAAAAAATGCTTAAAAAGTTATTGAAGAGCAGTAATTTTTTTTTGCTAAAAACAGACTTGTTTCATAATGGAAACAAGATATTTTTTTAGGCAATGAAAGAAGTCTCATGACAACCTATAGGATTCACTGTGCTTGGAAAAAATTTGATGATTGAAACCTAAAAATCTCTAACAATTTAGTTGTCTTTAAAACAGGAGCAAAGAATATAGATGCATATGCTTCTATATTTTTTGATATGACCTATGTGCATGTGGTAATAACATGAACAGCATTTATTTTAGTAACTTTTAAATTCAATACATGTTAAACACAAATGTAATAATTAGTGTGATTCTTGATTTAAATAAACATAACATGTTCATCTTTTTGTATATTACACATTGGTGGAAAGGATAAACTTTGTTGCCAAACTATCCACATTTAAGAGAGGCGTATTTGAACACCTAATTGCTTCAAAATATTTATTAAGGACCACTGAAGCAATAAAATAATTAAGAGGTATTTCCTTCGATTTATTTACACAATAGACTTAAGGGCTGGTTCAAACATTGACAATTATCGCAATTCTGATAGTTACATAAAGAGTTATACAAATATTAGCTTTACAGTGAGTGCGGGGAGGCAGTTCAGACATACATGAAATGATAAAATTGAGAGAGGCCAACTATATACGTATTAACATAAAACACTGAAAACATCGGCTCACGATAGCGCATACGCGGCTCACGTACTTTTCGGGATCACACACACCCAGCCTTCACTTGCCGAGAGGCAAATTGGCACTGTCTTTCCTAAGTTAAAGTTATATAACGAGGGGAGGGCCGGTCCCTGATGCAGGAAATCAGTCGCACACACGTTAACACGATAGCTGACGACCTGAGAGCACAATTTGATAAAATAACTATATGATTACAATATTATATAGGTTGTTTTTACAACACACATTACATAAAAATATGTTCTATAAACGGCAAACATTGATAAATTATTCGAAATGACAAAAATATTAAAACTTTCCATTTGTGAATACTAATTTATAAATGGCTATAAAATTTTAAAACTAACCAAAGCTGACCAAATAGACTAACACGATATTTACTAGTCTATTGGGTCTGGATTCAGTGTATACAGTATTCAGATAAATTGAAAAAATCGTAAAAGTATAAATAGCAAAGTATAAGACTTATTTTAAAGTCCTAAACTTCAACCTAATTAAGAATTTTAAGATGTTTTTGGAATTAATTACAGATGACAGAAGTTAAATGTAATTGATCATTAACCAATAATATTACAATAAACAATCTAAAACATTTATTTAAAAAAATGGTACAATAACTAATGATACATATTATAGTTTTTACATCATATTTGCAATTCTTTGTTTCTCTTTTGTTGTTATACCAGTTCTTCTATATTCAGATCTTTCCTGTAAATATTCCTTTTTACACCTATCTTTAAATTCTTCATCTTCATACCACTTTGTTAAACAACTCCTAAGTTTGTCATTTTCTCCTCTACATTTAAAAACCATTAAAAGGCCTGCATTTTTACCACAAGTAGAAAACTCAGCTACTTCTTCAAAGCATTTCTCTACTCTTGCTATTTCCCTCATCTTTTTAGGAACCATTACATCTATTTCTACCTTCCTTAAGGAGAGATCGTCTGGATCACCTGAAATATGTTAATGCGATTAAAAAACTGAAAGAACATCAATTGTTTAGCTGTTTTATTTCAAAAGAATCATTGCATTTTGGTTAAATCTGATGTAAAAAAAATAAAATAAATATAGTACCCAAGCCATGTGGACCGCATTTATACTTCTCGTACACACTAGTAGGACGAGTATTGCTCATTTTAAATATTTTTTATATAAAAATATATTTAAAATTGTTTTTTTTTTTGGTTAAAATTACATTTCCACTTTGACATTACTTCACTTCGTCTTTTTGGCTTGCATTAAACACAAACTGTGGTCTTCTAAGGTTTGTGTTTACAGGTACGATTTAGCTAGAAAATTACAAAACTCGTATGACTTCTATAATAATGTACCATAATAATCTTTAATGTACCGGTAATCTTTATTAGTTAGTCTAACTGTTATTTATTTAAATTTAATGATTTGTGATTTATATTTGAATATATTTAATTCTGGACTGAGATTTCCAAATGAAATATCTAAAGTTAATTTTATGATATGTTTCTTCTGTTCACAACAGTGAAAGTGGTGTCTCAACTCAAATTCTCAAAATTTCACAGAAATAATAGTTCTGATTTCTGATGTAAACAGATCAGGCTAGGCAAGAGATATCCTGTATAGATACTATATATTTATCTATGAGATAAATGCCATGCAAGATAGACTTGCATGTCTATCTTTATGTAAAGCTATATTTAGGTAATATCATAATATAATTTTGGGTAATATTTTTATTTTTGGATAACTATTTGAATTTTATATGAATCTTGCTATACTTATGTCACAGAATAAAAAACAATATTATTGTTATTATTCTGTGCTTATGAGGAGTTATGTCTATGCTGGTGAGACAGATATCATAGACAATAGATGACAGGAAGTTGGCAAAACTGATCTAATCAATATTTTACATTAGTGTCAAAATTTATATCACAAGACTTCCAGTTGGGAGTTGGGTCAGAGTTAATTTTTAGGTGTTCTTTTAAAGGGTTGTAATTTTAATTTAAAAAAATGGCATCCAATTTAGTTGCGGGAGCAAATCCTAAAATACAGGATATAATGTCGTCTTTAGACGATGACAAAACAGGTACCTATTTAACTAAAATTTAATTTATAAAATTCTGCAGAAATAAATAGTTATTTTTTAAATTTATTAAAATTAAAATTATCAGAAAAAATTAAACTGTGTTTAATTTTTGACATAATTCATGTGACAATTTAAATAATACAAAAAACAGAATACGGGTGTAATAGCTCACGTGACAACAAAATATTTTGATTTTGTTTGGTTTATTGTACCAGTGACCACCAACATTTTGATCCGTCATATATTTTATACCTCGATCCAAAAATATTTTCGCAAAATTGAAGTAAACTGAATTTTAACTATCATGATTGTTCCAGATATGTTGGCTGCCACAAGTGTTTTGCAGCAAAGAGCTACAGATATAAGAAATCAACATGTAAACTGGCAATCCTATTTCCAGTAAGTACCAATCAGTGAGATATTTTGATAAATAATTAATCCTTTGTAAAAAGTTCAAGACTAAAAGATAATTATAGAACAATCGAATTTTCATTGTTCGCCATTACTATATACAAACTAGATTGCATATTTACAGGATGGATTTGATGAATTGAACTTATAAAACAGTAAAATAGGTTATAGGCTGTGCCCTGGTAACCTCAAATAATGTTTATTATTATCTCCTGTATTGTTGAAGTCATAACAATACACAATCATATTGAACAATTCTGGATGTAAACTATTTCTTACAGCAAATATGCAACATATTTTGCCAGTTTTATTATTTAAAAGATAGTTAAAAGTGGGGTTTTACACATTTTTTCAGTAGTAGTTTGTCCTGTAAAAGTTTTTCATTTGATCATTAAGTTAAATATGTGGGTGTGAATATAGATAGATTAAAATGGACAGCAGAATAATAAACAATTTGGTTTTTAATAATACTTCAGGAATAGTATTGGCCATCCGATAATAAATAAGTTAATTGGAAGTATAATTTTCAAGCCATGCATTCATTCATAAATAGAATATTATGCAGAATTGTCTTGTAAGCCTTTGTATTGCTTGCTGTAGGCAGCCATATTACTATCAATTAATTGTCTATAAAGTGTAGAATGCATATCATCATTATTAAACCGCTACGTGCTATGTGAACTTTTTGGATATTTCAACTTTCTAACTAGTATGACAAGTTTACAAAACCAAATTTTCTGACATTTTCCACATTTGGTCCCAGTGAAGATACCCTCAAATGAGCTGTCAAAATGTGCACATAACATATTTTATTTGACCATAATCAACTAGACATAACCAGGAACTTTATGGAGAAAAAACATTGTATGATACATTAAGTAAATTGGATAAGAATGGCAGGACAAAACCTTCAGTGGCAGATGGTCAGTTTGTTACATAAGAAAATGAAGGAAAGGTGCAGTAACGAGTGATCTATGTAAGATGGGGGTGCAAAAATGTGAGATTGCTGCACAATACCGGCAAGAATGGAGGAAAATAATTAATGTGACTAAGACTCACTTAGAGTTGTAGAGCCAAGAAAGAATGTGGTTAGTAAAAACTCAACAATAAGTGTTTAAATATTGATACATCCACCTCAGCTTTGGTCTACCCCTTCTTCTCATTCCCACGGGTTGTGCTGTTAGAATCTTTTTTATCATGTTCGATTCAGGGGCCCGGGCTACATGTCCTGCCCACTGCAGGCAGTTTCGCTTAATTACAGTGGTAATATCTAGTGGTATTATTACTATTATATAAACAATATAATAGTAACAAAGGGTACATGGATATCAAGAACTCTTTGTCCTCAAAAAATATTACAATGTATGGTAATAATAATTTTTCATTATTTATTTACAACTAAAAATTGTTGATAAGTAAATTCATTAAATTCATTACACTGTAAGGTGCAAATAGAATATTTTCGTTTTTGTTTGACTAGGAAATGTATTATATTAAACAGAATTCATCAGACTAAAACGAAACTTAATGAAAGCATTCTGTTTGCACAGTAGTCAGTTTATTAACTGTGTCAGCTTGTAAAGTATGTTGTCATTATAAAGCATAGGGCATACATTTATTTTTGAACCTGGAAATGAGCAGAAGAACGAAAATATTTGAATCTGTTTTAGTAGCCAGTGACAATAAGTGTTTGGATGAGAGAATCAGGATCTATTATGCCACGAACTACAGAGGAAATCAGTTCTGCTGAATCAAGATCTTTTGAAAGAAGAGGCACTATGTTATTTATAGTAGTGGTGATAATGACAATCCATCAAATGATCATCAAGCCCCTATTTGTCATCAATTTAGAACCAAATACTGTCACCATTTACTGGGTAAACAATATAGGCTGCAAGAAAATATATGGCAAAATAGAACAAAGTGTACCTAAAAAGCTAGGTGTGTGCAAAGTCTTTGTAATCATAGTACAATTAGAAAAAATCTGAAAATAGTTTCATGTGAAGATAGATCTCGGAAGAAGAAAGATCTGTGTTGCATAACAAGTTTTGGAATAAGAAGTTATGGGTCAAAAAAAGGCTTTTGTACAAGGATTAGTCTATAAGAGAAATGTATGTAAGCAACGTAAACGTGATAATAATATCACTTCGAGGAAACAAACTGGATTTAATATATTTGTGCCAAAGTCTGACATTCAAAATAATAGAATAAAAGTGTGCAGATTGTTTTTTTAACACACTTGATTTCACACATAATTTATTCGTATGCTGGATTAAGGATAATATAACAATAGCAGCTACAAAAGATGATTATTAAACCCCCACTTTCACTGAATGTTGTTGTGGTATCGCCACAAATAAAAATGCACACTGAAATGTGTCTGAATGATTGAATTTACTTCCCAAAGTGTCTAGTCACTATTGTACAGCATCATCAAAGCACATTTACCTTAAGTCAACTTTTCGATCATACTTTCAAATGCATGCAATTTACAAAACATGGTGTATTGAACAAAATAAAAAACCAGTCTTAAGTATTCTTAGTGAAGAGAACATTTTAATTCACAAACAGAAAAGATCAATGTGATCTGTGCTCCAAATTTCAGTTACAAAATGTTTCGCTAGATGAGTATGTGACATATTTCCAGAAAAAACATGAAAATTTAAAGGATAAACCTGATCATGTGGTGATATCTGCTGATGTGCAAAATGTTCTTTTAGCACTAAGCTTAATTTGTATGAGCACTGTATTATAAACATAAACTACAATGACATAATTTTACATTTTATAACTCGTCCTGAGGATTAGTTCATTATGATTTTTTCAAGAAGGTAACCACCAATTTTTTGTCTACCAGACCTAGTAAAAAAAGGTGATTCCACAGTGAATGATACCAGAGGTTTTTTTTTATATCAGTCTAATAGTGAAATGTGCTTCAAACTTTACCATCTCATAATTATATAAAACTTCCTCAATGAAGACATGCTCCTCAAGGGTATCCTAGAACATTGTAAGATGGTCCATAAATATCTTTTGGGATAACAATTGATTGTAATAATTACATTTTTAACTGCTGTTTAAAGATATAAGATATAACATCAACTTCCACTCTGGAAACTGTTCACAAAAAAGATTATTTCAAAAATAGTGAGGTAAAATTTTTGATCAGTTATGTTTTTCAAACTTGATGACATACTTTGGCCTCAATGTTGTAGGCTATCAGCCATGCTTTTAGTTGAAAATTCTAAGGGTAGTGTTTTTACCCTCAGGATGATATCAAATTTTGATTATTTTGTGTTTGTGTATTGCAACAAGAGTTTGTTATATTTTGCTGATAAATTTACTACACATTTTTCATTTTTAGGTAAGATGAGAGCTGCTTATCTGATTTTTCTGTTTTTCATATCTGTTTGTTTCATGATTATTGATGCATTTTTCCATTGTACTCTGAATTCATTGTTTTAGGCATGTTTACATATCCGTGATTTGTTGAAGTCTCTGTTTTTATGTATGTTTCATGCTCATTTATTCTAACATATAGTGACATATTCTTGCGGTTTCTCCCACATAAAATTATTGCATTCACTGTGTGTTGTTAGGTTTGGTTTTGGACATAATATATTTCAGTGTATCAGTTGTTTTTAATGTTGTACTTATTTCCTGTCCTTTTTAAGTTTTCCGATATGCCCTTATGGTATTACATAAATAGTATTGTGTCATTTTTAAATCCCTTTTTGTGAATGTTTTTGGACTGTTTGTGGTGTTTTGTTATTTTCTTTCTTCAATCTTGTGAAATTCCTTGTTTATAATTGACAATGTGTAATCATTTGTTGTTAAAACCTTCGTTATCAAGTTTTTTTTCCTGAAATAAATTTTCATAGAGCAGGTGTTTTGGGGGCTATCATGTAATGATTTGATAATTCTCTTTTTGATGTTTACTTTGTGGTATGAGTGGTAATTTAAATAACTGTTGGTGTGAGTTAGTTTTCTGTAAACATTGATTTCATATCCTCTATCTTCTTTTGTGCTTAACACATCCAGAAAAGGAAGTAAATGTTGTTATCTTTTCATGGGAATTGAGAGTCTTTTTTACTGTTGATGTCCATCAGAAATTTATTCAATGTTTCTGATTCCAACAGATATAGAAAAACAGTTTCAGTATCTTTATTATTCTTTCATTGGAAGGTTTAATATTTTTTTGGGCAAACTTTGATATATAAAAATTAAAAAAGGAAAAGACAAGCTAGTATTAACATTCATAGACTTAAGTGCTTACATGCTAAGTGCTTTATAATCTTTAAAAATTTATATTTTTGGCATATAAGCTTTAAAAATTTATATTTTTAGCATATAAACTTTAAAAATTAGAAATTTTTGTTTTACTTTTCATATATTATCAAAATATAGGAGTTATGTGAACTAAATAGATGAACAATATGTGAACAGGAGATCAATTCATAGTTATCTATTCTGACTTACAATTTATTCCCACAGTACCTACTGTAATACTGTAATAAAACCTTTTCAAAAATATGGCTTCCTGAAACAACATTCTTTTATAATCCCTTATAAGTTTCTACCGAAATGCATCTTTGTGTTTATAATTGTATTGTGAATCCTCTGTATGTACGAAATAACTGTTATTTGGGTTAGTTTAGGTTTTTTTATGTCCTGTTTGAATAATATCCCCTTAAAGAACACCCTAATAGTTCTGTCTGGTTTAGACCACCCAGAGACAAATTAGCTTTTTTCCATTGAGCAGATGAAGTATTTGGTTCAAGTTAAACTTTTTTCTTTAAGTATATTTTATGGTATATATGATAAATTTTGATATGCTATTTGATTACTATATCTGAATATTTTGTGTGATTATTTTGCGATATGTATGATGTGTGTATATTTTTTAATATAGTTTGATATAGTTAATTTTGAAATTATAATCTTTTATAGTGAAAATATAGTGTATTTTTAATGAATACATTTTATTTGTTGTTCTCTTTGTGTTGTAAACATCCAGTTTTGTTTTTTTTTGGATTCAAACATTTAAAAACAGTGGCACTCTTTTTCTTTTAAGAGTTGTTCTCTTCCCTGTTTCTATCAGTACTGAGCTTATCTAGCAGTACTGAACAACGGAGTCGACGTACCTATTCTTTACCAGTGTACGAAGACTAATTCTTCGTAATATAGATCACTAGGTACAGTAAATATCAAGATCTTCAGAATTATTGATTCTGCAGTTGCTGTTCTATTTTTACAGGAGGATCTAACCAAGCTCTAACAGGTGATGATTTTAAATTATATGGAGTTAAATATTCCTAATTTTCATTGCATATCTTTTTAGGTTGAATTCACCAGTCTTTACCAAATAAAAAATAGATAACAATGCTATTACTAGAGTTTCAGGAATAAAATATTTAGACATTTTATTTGATAGCGAACTTTAAAGCACATATGAAGGCTATTACATGTAAAATATTCAAAATGTTTTGGGTTCATTAATTGATTGTTTAAGAATGGATATATGGATACTATTAAGATGCTATAATGCTCAGTGGTGAGGTCTGTAGTAGAGTATGGCATGATTACCTTCACTATGAAAGTAAAGTAAAGTAACGGGTTTCCCAATAGGGACGTCCTGTTTTTGAAATGTCACAGCGGCCATTTTGAAAATGGTAAAACTGTCAATTGTTGACGTTTGTATTTAGTATACTCCAACAAATTACCATGGCAAGATATACGCTTAAACAACGTTTGGAAATTATCCTAAAATTTTATGCTAATAATCGTTCTTTTGTGAATACCTATCGTGCATTACGTGAAAGTTATGGACCAAATAATCGTCCTGATGTGCGTGTAATTCGTCAAATCGTGGAAAAGTTTGAACGTGAATTTACTTTGCACGATATGAAACCACCAAGTAGACGCCGAAATGCAAGAACTCAGGACAATATTGCTATTATAAGAGCCAGTTTAGCGAAGAATGCAAACGTGTCCCTCACCAGAATGATAACTTCGCAAATTCTGAGAAAAGATTTAGGCTTACAAGATTGTTTTGACTTAAGAACTGAAGCCACTTGATCAACATAAGCATCGTTTGTTCCCTGATTGGGCTCTAAACAAACTCGAAAATGATGGCGATTTTTTCAAAAAAATAATCTTTTCCGATGAAGCTCATTTTTGGTCAAACGGCTTTGTAAATAAGCAAAATTGTCGTTTTTGGAGTAAAAATAATCCACATGGGATTCTTGAGAAGAGTTTGCATCCAGAAAAAGTCACTGTCTGATGTGGTTTATGGCATGGTGGCATCATCGGACCTTATTTTTTCGAACATTGTGTAACAGTCAACGGTGAAAGGTATCGAACGATGATAACGGATTTTTTGTGGCCTCAGTTGGATGAAATGGATTTGGATGGCATGTTTTTTTTAACAGGATTGTTTTTTATGGGGCTATGTAAGTCATTGGTCTATGTGAACAAACCATAATCAGTTGAAGACTTGAAGAGCACACCATTCGTGAGATTAATTCGGATATTTTGCATAAAGTAACCGAAAATTGAGTTCATCAGATTCGCTACTGCAAACGTAGTCGCGGTTGACATTTGAATGATGTGTTATTCAGATTATAATTGTTATCTATTATATTTTGGAATAATTTTTTTTTATTTACAGCAATTTTTACCGTTTTCGTTTAAAAAAAAAATATCAGGACATTCTTATTGGGAGACCTCTTAGTAAAGTTCTAGCTGTAATGATTTTAACTGAGTTTACACACTGACTATGTTTAGTTTTAATCATACATTGCCAGATTTTCTAATAATTGACTGACAATTTATTAATTTACATTGTAAATTTCATGTCATTACATTTCAAAACCATTGCAATCAATATTTTCTCTACTGTTACAAATATTCTTATTAATGTATATATATACAGGATGTTTCATTAAGAATTGTATATATAGTTACTGGCTGGAGAAACTTTAGCACAACATACGAAGACTTAACCAAAAACACTTAAAATATTCCTCCTTCCTGTGATACAGAGTGTTTTATTAAAAATATTCTAAAATGATTTTGGCCAATTGTTTAACACCTTTCAATATTTTTTGTTCGAACTTGACAAACAGTTTACACTTGTTAGGATACTTTAAATACTGTTAAAAGACAGTTTTCTGCTGTTACAAGAGATGTGCTGTAGGGATAGATACTTCCTTTTTTCCCCTCACAATCTACGCCCCTATCGTAATAATCATTTCAGCATGTTTTTTGATTCTTTGTTACTTTTTACATAAATACTATCCCCTTGGTTTTAATGCGATAGACTAAGTAGTTTTCAAGTTATTTGCATTTAAAGTTAATGTTTAAAATACATACTCTTTTTTTATTGCTGGATCATATGCCATGTCACGAGTCATAAATATGTCACTAATAAAGTTGTATAATTTACTAGATTCAGTAAATTCCATTTCAAATGATTTTTTCATATTAATGTTTTAGTTCATTAAAAATCATAACTATGATTTTTATTATAACATTTTTTTCTAATAATTTTATGTTAATAAAATGATGGTTACATAAGACAAAACTATTGAAAAAAATATTTAGAGTAAATTTAATAAATTTTCAAAGTGGCCTCCATTAACTTCAATACCTTTTTTAATTATATCAGAAAAATTTCTCCCAACCTTCAGAAATATGTTTAATTGATTTCTAATAAAATTTGCGCCATTCTCTATTTGTTGTCATAATTCTTGTCTGGTATTAATTTCTTAAGCATACACAAGTGTCTTCATATATCCGCAAAAATAAAAATCTAAGGGATTAAAATCAGAACTCCGAACAGGCCATGGAAACTCACTTCCTTGCCCTATCCATCCATGAGGAAATTGATCGTTCAAATAATTTCGCACCACCAAGTGAAATGTGGTTTGGGTGCCTTCTTTCATAAACCATATATCTCTTCTTGGGTTTAACTCCTCCAGTTCATCAAAAAGGGCATTTTGAAAAAAAAAAAATCCAAATACAAATTGCCGTTGAAATTTGCAGGTAATTCAAATGGACCTATTAAATTATGTCCTCACACCGAACATTTATTCGCAGTTTATGTTGAAAGTGTACTTCTCTGACGGCATGTGAATTTTCTTTATCCCAAATGTGACAATTTCTTCAGTTATAAACGAATCTACATGAAAGTGGCTTCATCAGTAAAAAGAATATTGCTAACGAAATTGTTATTTGCATTTGTCCTATCTATAACAGATTGTGCAAACTTCATTCGTCAAGTAAGATCTGTGGGTAGCAAGTTCTGCACTGGAGTAAAATGTTAAGGTCTTAAGTCTTCTTTTTTAATATTCTGAAAACTGGAGCATAGCGTATTCCAGTTCTTGAAACGTCTAGTATTTAATTGAGGTTCATTAGCAATTATTACTAACACATCAACCTCCTGATTCACTGTAATTATTTTGCACGTGAATGTCAACAACATTTTTAATCTCGAAATCAAACAAAACTTTAATATAAAAGTACAGCTTTAATGTATTTAACTGAGTTTACACACTGCTTATGTTTAGTTTTTCACCATATATGGCTAGATTTTCTAATCGATTCTTAGAAACCATTGTAATCAAACACTTATTCAGAAGATTCATTAAAAAACTATATTTACCATTTATCTGTTAAAAAACATTTATATAAAATGTTCGTTAATGTCCAAGTTCACGAAAATTTCAAAGTAAGTGTCATGTGAAAGTGGCTAATTTAACAAACTAAAACCTAAAATTTTCGAAATATAGGTACTCCATTGAGGTCTGTTTACTACCTTTGTACCTATAAATTTACCATGTAATATAGACTATTTGTTAAATATGTAGTAAAAACCTTAAAAAAAAATATAAAATAATTTTTTTTAGATCTCAAATGATTTCCCAGGAAGATTACAACTTCATAGTAGCTTTTGATGTTACTGATAGTGCAAAAAGGGAAGCTCTTCTGCAAAGTGACAGAAACCAATGTGCCCAGACATTCTTGAATCTTTTGGGACATGTATCCAAGGACCAGACCCTGCAGTACATTTTAGTTTTGGTTGATGATATGTTACAGGTAAAGTAATGAAGTATATTTACTACCAGTAAGCTCATTTAAAATGTAACGAACAAACTTTGTATTGTTGTGCCACATAAATGTAGACTTGCAACACCCCAGAACAGGGTTAAAGTTACAAGAATTATTTTCACCTAAAAATTGGTCCACCTTGATATAAACATCTTGAGTTTTTGGGGGTACCAATTTTCGTGGGGACACTGTATACATGTGTATATATATTGCGGAATCGGATTGAAATATTGGGACTGCGGTCGGCGGCTTAATTGAAACTAAATTTATTTCATCAGTTCGATATTTCGTTGATTATTTAATTTTTCAACATTATCAGGAATATACTACAAAATTAACTAAAAATTAGATAAAACCAAACATTTCGATGACCGTTTTAATCTATCGTTAATTTATATCTATCTTATTTTCTTAGCCTGGATTTGCCCGTGAGTGGCCCTCCATGTCTTTTGATGATTCCTTATCAGCCACTTCTGAACCTGTTTTTGCAGAATCTTTGGTAATGTCACACAATGGTTCTGGGCGTAAAAAGTTTTCTCCCCAGCCTTGTGTTGCCAACAAATATGTTCGTTCATTCGAGATATTTAAGACACTTTATTGTTTTTTGCCTGGTTGTTGAGATCTTTGCAGTTCTTTACCAGTTTTGATTTTGTGATTGGGTTCTTTACGTTCAGAATAACTGATTGGATATCTGTATAAATGCTGGTTCTCTTTACTTTAGGCTCTCCCTCAATGATTGCAGACCACCAAAGCAAAAACTTCAGCCTGGAACAAAGTTGTATATTGACCTAGGTTGTAAGATTTGTTATAATTACATGCCTCCCAAAAGACTCCTGGTCCAATACCATGGACAGTTTTAGAATCATCAGTGAACCATATAGGTTCCCATTAGTATTTGGGACTTTTTGTTCTCTAGATGGTAAGTATAATGGTGTTAATCTTCTCAGTGAAGTTTATTTCTGGTATCATCATATTGGAGTTCATCATCTAAAATATGGATTCCTTAAGTATAATCCCAGTTGTATTTGTGTGACTATTCAATACATAATTTGGCTTCTAAGTATTTTTTTTAATCTCACGATGGTCATAAAGGCTACCGCAGAAATGTATAAATCCTGAGGGACAGACCTGTGATAGCCTCTTAAGATGTTCCTGTACTATTTAAGGCTCCTGTCATATTTAGAAGCGCTTGTCTCTGTCGGGTGATGAGAGAGATCGCACAAAATTGCAAAGCTGTTATTTTTCACCAAAGTACTGAACCATATGTAACTGTCGGCCGTATTACTGATTACCAACAGATTACCTTTGATTTCAGCCCCCAGGTTTTACCTACAACTCGTCTGCATTTCCAAAACAGTCGCGTAGCCCTATTGGTTATGTTTTTAATATGAGTGCTCCAATTCTGATCTAGAACGACGTGATTAGGGAAAGAGCCGAGGTGACTACAGTCTCATAAAAGTCGAAGGACAAAGACTGCAATGGTTTTCTCACGTCAGACGTAGAAATAAGAACTTTGCGGGACGAAGGATAGAGCTGTTAGAAGTTAACAGAGAGGTAGAGAAAAACAGAAAAGATCAAATGACTACAGAATGAATGAAATCAGTGGCGAAGAAGACTAAGGAACAGCGACTCCTGAAAAGAGGAAAGCTGGGGAATAAGACGAAAAAGGAGTAAATGCCACCCTCGCTCTTTTTCAAGCTTTAGCAATGTATCCCAATGCATGACTAGTAAATATTTGGATCAGGGGGACCATAATTATTTCCGGTCCTTCTTGGAGTAGTCTGGGAAATATACCATCTGGCCCTGAAGTTTTATATGGTTCAAAAGTTTAGCTTCAATAGCCTATCTGACCTTGTTAAAAGCAAAGATTTCTTCCGAGGTCAGCCAGTCAATTCTGGTTGGGTTAAAACTTGTTTATTCATTACGTATTTCCAATAGTCAATTGGACAGACTCTGGAAAGTTAAGTATCGTCTTGTTTCTCTTAGATCAGACAGCTATTCCACCAAGCTGCTTGCTTGGGCGGGCGACTTTCTTTTAGCGGGTAGTTTTCCTCAGATGAGGCGACTATTTGAAAGTTGCAATCAGTCTGCTACCAGCTCATCATCAACATTGTTTTTTGGTCTTTTAGAATAATCATTTCGTGCGCATGTTTTAAGATCCCTTCTAAAGGATTCCCAATTGATCATAGAATATTATTATAGTATAACGATATTATCAAGTTTAGGATTTTTTAAATAAAAGAACTTTAAATAATGATCAGCTTGCCCTCACAGTGAGATACCCATTGGTCTGCCATAGCAGCACTGTAGATATTTAATTTTGCAACATTTTGTGAAACCAACAGTAAAATTGTGAAAAAGCCGTATTCTACATGGATTATATGGATTATTTGAGAGTAGTTCAAAAAATGGAATTTTTGTAGATGTGGTAACAAAATTTAAATAATGCACACATCCATAATTTTTTTAATTAGAATAATTCAAGATGATCTACATAGTTATAATCTTACACTAGCCGGTGAAAATATTCTCGAAAGAAGCAATGAGTACATAATTTTTGAATATACTCGCTTGGAAAGCGGAGAATTATGGCACATTTATTTGTTTTGATTGATAATTCAATCAATGGAAATGCTATTTTTGTATCGATTGTGGTAAAAATTCTACAAAATCGAATTACAAGATCTATCTAGTATCTCTACATATCTTAAGGCCCATCCTTGAAAATCCTAACAGTGAATTTCAGTGGGCTGTCTATCAAAAATTTCTTTTTGTACGAAAACAAAATCTGTTCATGAAGTAATATTCTAAGCGTTGTTCAGATATCTCTCTCAAGTCCAGGTCAAAAATGCTTTCATCTTTTACTCTTGCCGATTATACAACCGGGACAACCCCTGAAGTGACAGGTTTGGGGCTACATAATAAAACCATAAACTTACGTGGGCGGTCTTCTCTTTAGTGGTGTTATAGCCTATATAGGGTGACCATATGTACTTTTTTTAGTAGGACAGTACTTACTTTTCAAACGCTGTCCTATTGTACTTTAAAATTTATGAAGTACACCTAAATGTACTCTTTTTCTTAATTACACAAAATTAAGTCCTACTTTTTGTCCAAACAAAAATAATTTTGATTCGAATTGATGCGCCCACTATTGATTACTTTTTACCGACACTTTTTATCGTTTTTTATATTATATTGTGCTGTGTGGAAAAATAAACAATTTCATCATGTCACTGCCTAGAAAAAAATGCCATTTTAACGTCGAGTTGCAAGCAGAGTATCCTTTTATGAAACAAAAATCAAATATTTCAACGCATATTGTGTTTTGCCAAGTTTGTAAAATTGATGTTGATATTTCTAACAGTGGTCGTAGTAATATCAAACAACATTTGTCAAAGAAAAAACACATGTTGGCTACTAATGCGAACTCTAAGAGCAGCAAATTGCAAACCTTTGTTAAAAAAGAAAATTTAAGTTCTGAAAATATGTTGATTGCTGCCAAGGAAGGTACTTTTGCTTACCATAAAGTTAAGCATTTGCAAAGTTTCAGATCCTTGGACTGCACGTCAAAACTAATTGTAAGCATGTTTGAACCTAAATTTGCGGCAGCTCGAACCAAGACTTCGAAAAGCAAATTTCGTCAGCATCACAATCGATTCGTCGAATCATAGAGAACTTAAAGTTGTACCCTTAATAGTAAGATATTTTGATGGAGAAAATGGTGTCCAAGGAAAATTACTTCAGCTACGTGACTTACCTGGTGAAACATCAGAGCAGTCAATGTTCTGAACCACCATAATTTACTACAAAAATTCATCGGAATGTCTGCTAATACTACAAATACAAATTTTGGTGGAATGAGAAAAAAAGGAGTGAATAATCTATTCAGCAAATTAAATGCTTCTCGTGGTAAACCCGTGATTGGAATTGGTTGTGTGGCACACATTTTTAATAACTGTTTACAAAATACGACGGTCGTCTTACCCATAGACATTGAGGTTATTGCAGTCAAGATTTTTAAGTATTTCTATATTTTTACAGTCAGAGTGGAGAAATTAAAACAGTTTTGAGATTTTGTTGATATCGAGTACAAAAAATGTTGTCGTTTTCAAAAACAAGATTTTTGAGCCTAATGCCATCCATTGAACCAATTATACAAATATACGAAGAAGGTTGCGTTTCGATTTAATTTGAGTCTCTTACCACTCCCTGACACGTGTTTCTGGGTCTACCCGTCATCAGAAGGAGTTTGTAAGAAGACTCAAACCAAATCAAAACGCACCGATTACTCTGGCAATTACATGAAAATAACTACCAGAGTATGCAACTATAAATATACAAATGTTCGAACCCTTGAAAGCATATTTTTTGTCGATTGATAATTGTCCAACAGTTCTAAAACAGTGTTTTCAAAACCCAATCAGTCAAGCATGGATGTGGTTTGTGCATAACATTGCGTCTCTCTTCCACAAAGTGATTTTAGATGTAGAAGGTGACAAAATATGCGCAACGGAAGCCGCTTTGGAGTATTTCGAACTTATAAATAAGCTTCAAAATCGTTTAAATAAGTTATTTTTGCCGCTTAAAGTAAGAGAGTCCCTTTCAAAACTTGAAAATTGGAAGACCTTGACCTTAGTGTGAACTATCGGGATATCTTTATCACGCATGTCAAGCAGTTCTATTCAAATTGTGTAACATATTTGAAAAACTGGAGTGAAAGTTTAAGTAAACTAAGGCTATTTGGATGAGTTACCTTGAAAAAACAAGTTTCTTGGGCTGAAATTTTATCGTCGTGTGAGGCTTTCAAAGACTACGTAGGTCCGATATTGAATCAAGACGAACTTTTTGATGAAGTTAGTCTAATACGAACCTACGTTACAGAAAATAAAATCACAGACTGGAATTCGAAAAATATTTCTACCGAAGATCGATGGCTCGAAATCTTCCAAAAAAAAGGGCTTTGAAAAATCTCAAAATTCTATGTG